TAAATGAGTGGGGTCTCTGCGCTGGAGAACTGCAACATTTGGCCTATCCTCAAACTTTCCACATGTCTCAGTCAGTCCAGATCTGGGTGCCCAGGAAAAGCAGCGCAAAAACTCCTCTGGACTTAATCTGCAATTTCCGAAAGAGCGCTCTGCTACCTCCCCGAACCTGAGCGCGGCCGGAAGTTCCCCAGGCACCGTCCTGAGAACTACAGTTCCCAGAAGGCAGTGCGGAGGAAGAGCAGTAGTAGAAGAGGACTTCCGGACGCTGATGCGGACCTTAACGCGACGCTCAGAGGTACGCTTAGGTGGCGGGCTGAGTGGAAAGGTGGAAGAGGGTGGCAGTGGTTGGGAAATGCCTTGTCAGATTCAGAGCGGGCAATGGTAGAAAGGATCCTCAACCTAGATTCCTCTCCTTGCAGCGACCATGACGAAGTTAACCCAGTGGCTTTGGGTCCTGGTGCTCCTGGGCTCTGCCTGGGCTGCCCTGACCATGGGAGCTCTGGGCCTGGAACTACCTTTCCCTTGCCAGGAAGTCCTGTGGCCACTGCCTGCCTACCTGCTGGTGTCCGCTGGCTGCTATGCCCTGGGCACTGTGGGCTATCGCGTGGCCACATTTCACGACTGCGAAGACGCCGCCCGAGAACTGCAGAGCCAGATCCTGGAGGCCCGAGCGGATTTAGCCCGCAGGGGGCTACGCTTCTGACACAGTCACCCATTCCGTCCGGACATCCTTCCTCATTCCCCATTAAAGTGCAGTTTTTAGTTTCTAGCCTTGTGTATCTTGAGTATTGGGGATTAGGTACTGGGGTTCTGTCTATCAGAAGTCGAGAAGCGGAGGCAGGAGAGCCACCTTTTCAGACTTTAACTTTGCATTTTGTTCCTTTCTCAAATCTTTTTTCTTTTCTTTTTGAAATAGGGTCTCATGTATCCCAGACATATGGCTGAGGATGCCTTTCTACCTCTGCCTGTCATCCCTAATTACAGGCAGAGGTATCATGACTAGATGATGTGTTTGGGAATTGAACCTGCTGGGCTTCAAACATGTAAGCCCTCAACTGAACTACATCCTCAAACCTGTTTTGTTTATCCGTTTAGATGGTTTTACTGAGTAGCCCAACTTGGCCTACAGCTTGTGTTGCTCAGGCTGCCCTCAACCTTGCAGTCCTCCTGCCTCAACCTCTTTGTTTTGTTCGAGACAGAGTTTCTCTGTGTAGCCCTGGCTGCCCCAAAACTCTGTATAGACCAGGCTAGCGTCAAAGTGAGAGATCTGCCTGCCTCCACTTCCTGAGTGCTGGGACCACCCGGCTCAGCTTCAGCCCTTTAAGGCTTCCCAATTTCCATTTTTTTTATAACCTCCAAGTTTTTGTTTCTTTCTTTTTAAACGGCCTTTCAGGTCTTTGTGATTCTACTTCCGTCAGAGGCCAGTCCCAGACTCACCTTGTATCGAGTCAGGAAGGCTGAGAATCATGAAGAAAGCACAAACCCTGCAGGCAGGTGTGGGGAAGAGTTTATTTTAAGGCACAGTCTAAAGACACCACCTCAGCCTCCAAAACGAGAAAAGATAATCTCTTTAAAATGTGATTGCATCCCATAGGTCCCGTCCAGTCTACATAAAGGTCTTTCTTTGATCCCTCTAGTTTCAAAATCAACTTTTTCCTCACAACCCATTGCATCCGTGGAGTTGGTCAGGAGGACCAGCAGAAACAGGAGCTCTTTTTGGTATCAAGTGGGCCCTACAGTGCCCGTGGTCAGGTCTGCAGAAGGCGGTATTTCCTGTCATGCTCTGGGGGATACTTGCAGAAAAGCCCAAGGCGGATCAAGCTGGTAAGGATTCCTGGAAGGTTGGGCACCTGCAATCACAGAGCTGCCATAAAGACAGGAACTGTTTGCTTGTAGACTCCTTGTCCCATCTGGGATCTTCTTACCGTGATGTATGGGTCTCTGAGGCGAAATCCATAGATGGACCAGGAGGCGGAGGAGAGGAGGGTGGCAATGGTCAGTGAGAAGGAGAGACGCTGGGTTGATTTAGTCTGAATGATCTTAGCCTAGGGCAGAAATACTCCTGGTTCAGGTTCACATTACCATTCCTGAACCCGTGCCTAGGAATTTCCATGGAAAGAAGACCCAAATCCCTCTGCTTTTTTACCCAGCCCTCTCCTGCACCCTGCTCACCCACCTCTACTGCCTGGCCTCCTTCCAGGAGCTGGATCTCCCCACCCCCCCTTAGAATATTATCCAGTCTCTGGCTAAGGTAGCCTAGCCCTTCTCTCCCTACCTCTTGGCCACCCCACTCACCAAGTCAGCCAGTGGCGACAGGTACATGCTGATAGTAAAGACACTGCAGAAGAGGCCTAACTGCCGAAGCCGGGCCTCCAGGTCTGGCACCAGAAGCCAAAAGTAGCCGTAGCCCAGGAGAAGGAGCCCCAGCAGGGCCGCAGTCTGCAGGAGCACAGTGTGCTGTGGGGGAGAAGCAGCTTACACCCAGAACATGGTTTCTCTGGTGGGACTGCTTCGTCCTGTCTTGGCCCATGCTCTAATGGGGAAGTCAGCTTTCACCCCAGCTTCATGCCAGTCTCTGGCACCAGTTACTTGAAGTCTCACCCACACAACACTGGAGGTCTCCAGGGAAGGGAAAGTTGTTCTTTTTTTCTCCCTCCCCTTTTCATGTGAGACTCATGTATACAGTAGGAGACAGATGAATGTTTTTGTGATTGAGTGGGGAAACAGAGCTAATGGCCATTCTTAGCCCCTGGCCCCGGCTCTAACTCTAAGGGACCAGAGACAGTATAGTCCCCTCTCCCCAGCACTGACACTGGGCTAGGGAAGCCACCAGTCTTGTGAGCAAGAGAAGGACGGGCGGTTGTGAGTGCATTTTGTAGGCTTCCTGGGAAGGAGAACCAGAAGGGCCTTCTAAGAAAAGGAAGTGATGCCATCCTACTAGTCTTCCAGGAAACTGCTCTGCTGACATGGCAGGGCGTGGAGCAGAGGTGGGTGCGAGGGTGGGCCTCTACCTTCTGAGGACTGTAGTGCAGATACGCCAGGATATAAAGAGTCTGAAGCACAGCACCCACGGTATTGACGATGATGAGGGTCCCATCTCCCTTCAAGACGCCATAACTCAGCCAGCCCAGGTTGCTGTGAGGGGAGGGATTATGGTCCAAAGGGCTGAGTGTGGCAGGGGGGTCCCCAGGGGCCTCTTGCTCCTCCCTCAGCCTTGCCCATCACAGCCAACAATATTCTCACTTGACGTCCGTGGTGAGAAAAGGCAGGAACTGGATGCTGTCCACGCTCCGTGTCCTCTGCATGTGTCTGAGGTCCGAGCTGGAAGGGGACCCAAGGGGAATTGTTAAGAATGGGTCCTCCGTGCTTGTCATCCACCCTGAACGACAAGCAGATCTCCTCCCTCAGGCTGAAGGGCCAGCCTCGCCCTAGCGCCCCGGATCATCCAGCCCTATTCCACTTTCATTCTGGGTTCCAGACACAGCCAGTAATTGTAGCCCCGTCTCTTGACCACTTTCCTCTCCTGATATCCTGGTCCTATCGCCAGCCCAGTCCACCCGCGCTCTCACAGGCCAGTGGAGAACATGCCCAGGGTGAATAGCACGCAGGCACCGGAAAGGAACGAGTCTGCCACGCCGCCCGCCTCCATCCCACCGGAGTCGGTTCCCTCGCCCAATGCTGTGCACTAGCTGTTCAGGTCCAGAGCAGGCGACTGCGAAGCCCCGCCCTCCCCGCGGACCGGCGCCGGAACCCGCCCTCGCCAGAACGGCACCGGAACTGGGGCCTCTGCCACACCAGCGCTGCACGCTGGAGGGCTGGATTGGTTCCTGATCTTCCCCTTCGCTTAATGCGCTTAATGGTTTTAGTAGGGACCGCGCATTTGTCCCCGACCGGGACCCTCCTCATACTGCTCACTCCTTGATGACCACCAGCCTCAATGTCTGTGTTCCCACATGACCTTGTATGCTAGAAGGCAAACACCAAATTTAGTCTCACCCAGTCTGAAGACTGCGCGCCTCCTATTAAGTGCTCCAAATCAGAACCTTGATTACTCAGCTTTAGGAAGTTTTCCCTGGAGGTTATTGAAATCCTTTTAGCCTGTCCCCTAAATAGCAGGAATTGCCAGGAGTTGCCATCTTTCTTCAGATGCCCTTCCTTACACAGCTTGCCCTATCCATGAACAACCCTACTTGGCCCCCTGTTCAACATACTGGCTCCTGGGAACTTCCCCTCCCATCCGCCCACGCGGCTCTGCTGGTGGGGCTGCGCACATGCTTCAGCTGGCATCTAGCTTCTGACTCACCCAGACAGCATGAGTACCTGTATGGTAGCCAAAGCCCTGAGCTTGAGGCTGAGGCGAGTGGGGTAGAGTGGACAGGAAGGGAAAGCATTCAGAACGGGGTGCGGAGGGGATCCAGCTCACGACTGCAGGGAATTCTGCAGAGCCCTCAGAGGAGGAAACACCCTGTGGCCTGGTAAGAAGTATGTCTTTTTAGAAAGAGAAAGAAGTTAAATCAAGTTGTGTATTATATCTCCCCCCCATCCTAGTCATTTACTGATTTTGTCTTTTACTTATTTACTTATTTATTTTGTTATTTGTGAGACAAGGTCTCACACTGTAGCCCAGGCTGGCATCAAGATTTTGATAATCTTCTTACTCAACCTTCTAAGCGCTTGGATTCCAGGCGTGAGTCACGCCATGCCTAACTCCTTATGCTTTGTGCTGCTGAGGAGTGAACTCAGGGCTTAGGCATATTACGCCAGCACTCTACTTCTCGAGGTGTTCCCAGTCCCTTGTTTTTGCTTTTGAGGCAAGGTCTGAGTTGCCTGTGCTTATCTCAAATTTGCAATCTTCCCCCTCAGCCAGGAGCGTAGCTGGGATTCTAGGTGTGTACCATACCAGCCCCGATTGTGCCCTGCATAGCTCCTGCTGTGGCAGAGCCTAACACACAGTAGGGACTCTATGATCAGAAATCGACATACGGGGGCAGAAGAACATGTCCAAAAAAACCAAAAACATTGCTTTATTATGAATCCAAGAACACTGTATAAAAAAACAAAACAAAAACTCCAGTTGTAGAAATGAGCAGACGCAGCACATTTTCTACACAGACTGTACACGTGGGCCCTGCCCTCTCAGCTACATTCTACACAGACTGTACACATGGGCACTGCCCTTACAGCTATACTCTAAAATCAGTATAGTCCTTGTGTTGGCACAGCTCCAGGGAACGCTGCCCGAAGGACGGGGAGGATGCAGTCGGTGCCTGGCTACAAACCTCGCTGGCAGCTCAGCAGGTGGAAATCTTGCGGAGATGCTGGGTCAGCCCAAGCATGCTGCCTCTCCTGTACCTGGCTCCCACGCAGGAAGCTGTCTCAAGCTTTCCCTTCAGTCAGTTCATCTGGACATCATCGTTTCCTTAGTGTCCGACTGCACGACCTCAGGCCCTTCCAGTTCATCTCCCACTGGACCCTCTAGATGGTCCAGGCCTGCACAGCTTGTTTCTTTGGCTTAAAGGTAAAAATCGCAGGGAAAAGGACCTTCCCCTCTTCTTTCTCCATTCCTCTGAAGCGGAGGCAGGAATGGCACAATCAGGCTGGTTGAACTCCTTTGGGTTGAAACCCTTAATACTGAGCCTTCTGAGGCTTCGGGGTGGCAGCTTGAGCATGTAGTGGGAATGATTCCCAGGGCTGGAGCTTTGGGGTGCTTCTCCCTGCTCCTCGGCCCAGTTCCAGTCCTGAAGCCAGGTGAAGCATCACCTTCACTGAGTTTGCAGTAGCAGCAGCGGCAGGAGCAGCACAGCCCAGACCAGTGGGAAGAGGCGGGGGGCAGCACTGTAACCGATGCTGTGCAGAACCTGAACCTCTGGGTCATCTGCAGGTGAGAAGGCAGAGAGAAGGTAAAAGGCCCTGCTGTTTGCACCACCTTCCAGCCAGCCCCTGGGTGGCAAAGGAGCTACTTCTATTAGCAAACCCCTTCATGTGGCCCAGGCCCACTTGGCTCTAGTTCCCTACCTGCTAGAAGTCTCTTCTCCTGTGAATTGGCATGGGCCTGAGGGCTATGAGCTGAAAGATAAGAATGGTAATAGATCAGGTATTGCTAAGGAGGCGAAGAGGCAACTTCCTCCCCATCCAAGGCTCACGCTCAGCATGGGAGGCACCCACAGGGCCTGACACTCACTGATTTTGCCATTGACAGTCACCCTCAGCTTCAAGCACTGGTTTTCTTGATGGTAGATAGGTTTGGCTGTAAAATAAATGCATAGGATGTTAAGGAAAGAGCCTTTGCTAGAAGAAGATATGATTTCAAATTTGACTCTGCTCTCTCAGTGCCCTGTTTACTTAAATTTTTTTCTGTATTTATTTAAGACAAGATTTCACTATGTAGCACTGACTGTCCTGGAACTTCTTATGGAGACCAGGCAAGCTTTAAGCTCACAAAAATCTACCTGCCTCTGCCTCCTGAGTGCTGGATAAAGCATTCAATCCATATGCAACCTTTATTATTATTAATTTTTAAACTTTGCTTTCTTCTTCTTTAGTGTAAGCCACAGCACATGTGTGAAAAGCAGAGCACAAATGTTGGGAGTTCTTGCCGTCCGTCTTGCCTCTGCACTGCGTGCTCGATAAGGCTGTTTCTTCGCTGCCTTTTCTCCCTCTCTTTTTTAAGACAGGGTCTTTACAAACTCCCTGCAGTTCTGAGATTGACTGTGTAGACCGGGCTGGTCTCAAACTCAGATACACATGCCTCTGCCTCTCAAGTGTTGGAATTAAAGGCTTGGGCCACCCCACCCCAGCAATGTTAATTTTCTTGTCCCTGCCTCCCATCACCAGATAGGAGTGCTGGGGTTACAAATGTGTTCCACTGTCTTTGCCCATTCCTGTGGGCTCCAGGGCCATGACAGCCGGCACACGTGGGTTCCAGGCAGGATTCAGGTTATCAAGTTTATGCAGTAACTGCTTTTTTATTTTTATTTATTTATTTATTTATTTTGTTTTTGTTTTTGTTTTTTTTTTTTTTGAGACAGGGTTTCACTGTGTAACCCTAGCTGTCCTGAAACTCCTTCTGTAGACCAGGATGGCCTTGAACTCATAGAGACTTGCCTGCCTCTGCCTTCTGAGTGCTGGGATTAAAGGCGTACGCCACCATTACCCAACCCCTATTCAGTTTGTTTTAGGCATGGTTTTACTCTAGCCCACACTGACTTGAAACTTAGTCTGTAGCCCAGGCTACCCTTGAATTCACATCAGTCCTCCTATCTCAGTCTCTTGAGTGCTGGGATTAGAGTTGCGAGCCCCCATGCCTTGCCTAATCTTGATATTTATTTGCCTCCAGTTTTTGCCTACTTTCTGATCAGTGTTCAGTTCTGTCTCTTATTCTCCGGAACAACACTCAACTTTAGTAATGGTAGTGAAAGGGACATGGACGATGTCCCTTCTACACATCCCATCTCTCATGACTCCCAGCCTGAAGTTGGGCGAGGTGTTCTCAGTGTAATTTCCCTGGGCCATTTTCTACTGTGCTAGCCTAGACTCAAGCAGAGAACAAGCCCTGGATCCAGCCTTCACAGAGCCCTGGACCTTGTAACTCTCAGGATTCATCACCGGGTTCCTGCCACCCTCAGGACGAAGTATAAACGCGTACTAGTATTTCAGCTCCAAGAATCTGTCCTATCCACTTTTCAAGCCCATCACTGTATTTCTCATATGCCTCTCATTCCGGGAGCTCTACAAGCGGTCGCTCTCCCTTGTAGAGCGCATGCGCCCTTGCCCTTGTCAGTCCTCACAGTCTTTGCTGTCTTTGACCTTGGCAGGCACACAGGTCATTTCCCCGAGTGCCCCGTGTTCACGTCAGTCACATCACACTCTTCTACTGGCCTGAAGATTTATGTGGGTTCCTTCCCAGCTTCCTTGAAGACAGGGGCTAGGAATGTTTTAGTTATTTTGTGCCCATGTGCCAATCTGAGTGCCTAGCACACACCCAAAGCTTGTTCCACATCTGTGATATGAATGAGAAAACTGAGTTTAGATCTGGAAGGAGGCGGGGCTCTACACTACTTGACCCCCTCTAAGCAAGCACCCAGGCACATGCTGCCGGCCACGAGTGCTCTGTGACCTGTCCCTTGTGTACTCACAGATGTAGTAGTAACTGTGCCCTTCCTTGAACTCCTTGCCCAAGGTAAAAGGTGTGAAGCGCTGGAATTTCTCAGATAGCTTCTCTGGGCCATGCTTGGCACTGGGCTGGTTGCACTTCCAACGGACCTGGTCCTTGGACTGGGGCTGGCATGCCGCATACTCGGGCTGCTCCACCATGTACAGTGTATACCGCTCCATGGCAGCATCCGCCACGGAGTCGTCCTCATAATGCGGGCAGATAATGTCGAGGTAGTCATTTAGCCGCACGTGGACGGTGTAGTCCTCCTCCCGGAACCTGGGCCAGTGCAGAGCAGAGGGAAGCAGTTCACTCAGATGTCAGGCCGGAGCTGGAAGCTTCTAGTTGGTCACACTGGAGTCCCAAAGGATTTTTCCCCAAATCTTAACTCCCAATTTTCTGATCTTGATCTCTTTCATCTTTCTCTACCACCTTCAACCATTCCCTGGCTACCGGCATCTCCTACTCCTTCTCCAAATAACATCCACTAAGTATCTCTCAGGTACCAACATACTTTCTAGAACACCCCAGGTATTTGCCCAAGGATAGGTTCTGTTTCCCCAGGTGATTCTTTAAATGCCAGAAAACTTCAATCTGGCTGCTCTGGATTCAGGAGCCGAGCTGGGTCTCTCTGGTTGCTGAGCTCCTCAGCACACCGCTGGCTTTGCTTATCTCAGCCTGTCCCGGCTCTCACAGAGTCTCAGATTTCCACTACCCTGCAGCACCCAATCTCTGGTCCCAACCCAGACTCAGAGATAGTCAAGCCATTCTTATCAGGTGATTTAAATCTCCCTTTCTTGTTACTCAAATGCACTGATCTCCTTGTCCCATTTCCTCAGAGCACCCCAAACATCCCTGTCTTTTTAGGTCCGAGAGCCTCAATCCCACCTTCCCCCATGAGATGCTGCAGCTCTGAGACCCGAGACTGCCTCGCCTTTCCTTCTCCCCAGGTGGAGCCAGCTCCCCTCCCCCAGTCGGTTCCCCCCAAAGCCTGGCAGGCTCCAGCCTGACTGCCCACCAGCCCCTCCTACTTAGCTTCAGACACCTGGCTCCAGCCTGGGTAGGGTCTTAGCAGTGGGAAAGTGCTCCCCCCTCCCTCTGAAAGTCAGTCAGCGCTCTGGATTCTCCCAAGCACTGCCAGTGAGAGGCTCAGCAGAGCTGGCTGCCAATTTGCTTTAAAACCAAGTCCTTGGCATGGGTGGTGCCCATAGTGATGGTGGGGTTTCATGGTGGCCACCCACTACCCAGTCATCATGACCCTTTAGAGGCCTGGCCTTGCAACAGCTTGCTGCCTCTAGAACTAGGCTTAGCAGGCCCCTCCCCCACCCCGGGGAAAAGAGAGAAGCAGAGGGAGGGCTTTTAAAATTCCTCTCTGGAGAGATAAACATAGAAGCCATTTCAGAACAGGTATTTCAGCTCTGGGCCTGGCGTCTTTCCCCCATTCCCGTGATGGGCACTGACTCATGCCTCATCCACCTCTGCTACCCGCCCAGGCACTCTTGAAAGCCTGTGAAAATTTACCTTGTCAAATGAAAGCAGACCCCAGGACCCCAGGACAGCTCGGTACCACTGGGCAGAGGGAGCAGAGGGAGCAGAGGGAGCAGAGGGAGCAGAGGGAGCAGAGGGTGCTTGTCTCTCCAGGACCACGGGGGCCCACAACCCAGCTTACAGCGGCACTCTTCTCTGACACTGCTTCTGTCTGGAGCTTGGGGATCCCAGGGCTAATGCCCACTACCCTGAGTCACTCATGCCAATTCTACACCCGCCCTGCTCACTGCCGCCTCATCTCTTCCCCCAAGCTGGCCCTGACTAGACTGCCCATGACCTCCACGCTAGACCGGCTTTCCTGTAGCTGTAAATAAGTCAGGGTATGTGTGTGTCCAGAGGGACAGGGCCGAAGCTATACTTAGTGGGGCACTATCTTCTCCGCTTAGCCTGCGGGGACACTTCATCTCCATCTGGAAAGGGGGGCTACACTGGTGGTGGAGAAGACAGGGAGGGGGGCAAGGAAGAGGCTCCTTCCTGAAAGAGAGGAAACCTGGGAGCTTGGGAACGGAAAAGGCCAGAGATCCCCCCTCCCTACTCATGGCTTCCTGTCCCCTCCTCCTCCTCAGCCAACACCTGGCATGGGCATAAACAGGGACTTTGCTCTTTCCCACTGCTAGGACAGGACTGGGTCGGGGGCAAGGCTGACTGGGCTGCCGTAGTACCTAGGGCTAGGAAGACACTGCCCTTAGAGTTGGCAGCTGGCTCTGCGCTGCCCTCTGACATGTTCTAGACAACACACCCTCAACAGGCAATGCCACAATGCCAGAGGAGATCAGCACAGCATCTGTCTCAGGGGAAGGGGAATGGTTTAGTGGCATTTTGTGCCCCCCCCATCAGGGGTGAGGTTTTTTTTTCCACCCTAACCCCCTCTTGGTTTTCCCCAAATACTGTTCTCACAACTTGAGGAAACTCAAGGGCAAGAATAAAGGGTCTGACAGGGTCTTCCTCCCCAAACCGTTTGCTTCACAGCCCTAAACCTGCCCAGGAGAAATTACCTCCTTCCGGTTACAGCCCGCTGTGGCCGGGTGAAACCCCCCTGCCCCTCCCCAAGCTTTCCAGAGACACTCCTTTCATCAGTTCCTTAGTGTGGCACCTTGGCCACTCCCTCGGTCTGTCCATGCACAGCATGTGCCTAATTTATGCCACCCCAAAATCCTTGGGGGCACTCTCCAGGGTCATCTTAAATACAGAATGACTACCTAATGCCCGAAACCTAGACTCCTACCAAGAGTCTCCCCAGGGCTACTCCGAGCGTTGTGTTTACTCTTGGTGTCAATAGGTGCCTGTCAGTATACAAATGCTCAAGCGGCACACAAAAAGACAGGGCACAGACGGTTTGTGGGGGGACTTAAAGAGCCCTGGAGGCCAGGGCCAAGGCTACATTCTCAAGGCAAGGACGCCCGGCATGAGATCCTTACTTTAGAGTGATGGGATGCCAGAGGGCAGGAAGAGAAGGGCAGAAATAGCGCCTGTGCAAGTTGGCATTAGCCACGGGCGGGTGTTGCCAGTTACTAAGGGAAGGTAAAGACGGAGATGGGACGCTGCAGAATCCTTCCCACTCCTGGCCACCCTTCCTAGGCTCAGGCCAGGGGGTGGCTGAGGAAAGACATTGCTAACCAGGCGCCTAGGCTACCAGAGGGAGTCTCGGGGCTTACTTGGGATTTGAACTGTTCCAGAAGACGATGTGACGGTCAGCAGCGGCCAGACTGCAGCACAGACCCAAGAGAGGGGCCCAAAGGAACTCCATAGCGCGGGGCCGGGCCGGGCCAGGCCGGGACGAGAGCTCTGCAGTGTAAGGTTCCCACTTGCTCCTCCACGGTATAGTAGGCACAGCGAACACAAATCTGGCCTCTTCGCTGCTCGACTCCGCCTT